ATCGTACTCATACGACTGAAGGTGAACAGTACATTTTTAATTTTTTTTTTCAATTTCTAATTAAGTTTGGAACAGTTAAATCGAAAAGTCACTTAATTCATGAAAGTATATTATAGCTATCTTAATTTTTGAAACTTTACAGGAAGTAGGAATTAATAAAATTACTATAATCTTTGATCAATATGAATGTATAAAATCTAGGGCATTTGAAGCGAAGCTAGTTGAAATAATCTGCGTTAGAAGTTTTTGGGGATTGGCGAGCAATACCGGGCAAGACGAGGAGCACGCTAAATTTTTTTAAAAAGATAATAAATCCATGTTCTAAATTCATGTTTTTAAAAGTTAAATATTTAAATTTACAATTTTTAAATCAATTACGATTCAAAAGATTTAAAATCAATCATAAAATGTAATAAAATGTGTAACATAAAAAAACGGAAAACCACCAAAAACAATCAATCTACATAACAGAAGGAAAATAGATATTGTCCCCCTGTCCACCGTCCCCCATTCCCTCCAAAAAAAGCATTCTTGCTGCATAACATAAATAAAAAGATTGTATCACCACCACCCCTTTAAGAAAATTTTTAAGTTGCCTGATAGAAAGAAAATATTGAAATTAATTCGACAGTGAATATATCATTTTGATAACATATTTATCAGATCAAAAATAAAATACCAAAGATTAAGTTTTGTTGCTAATTTAAATATAAAAATGAAGGCATTAAATATTTCAATAATTGTAGTTAAAGGGATACCACAGGCGATTATATTTATCAAAAGTCAATTTTTTAAAATTTTTATGATCTCTTTAATTTTTACTATCATTCAATCATAACTATCACTACGACTTACATATCAAATTATTCGTAGTGAAACCAAAATCATTCTTCGCATTTACTTCTAATAGTAGACTGAAAAAAAAAATATTATAGGAAAAGTTGTTAATTTCAATCTCTTTTTAATCTAAAATTTTAAATTTTATTATTCACCACTTTTTGCGTTTATAGTCGCTCGTGGCAACCCTGTAGTTAATTATAACTTACTTACGTTAAAGCTGAAGGGAGTTTTTATTTTCAAAATACCACTTCAGCATTTTATTTAATTTTATAAATGTCGTTGAACAGCTGACCCAATTTTGGGTTTACGACTACTAATGTTTAACTCCGTAACCTTGTAATTTGAATTGGAACCTTCTATTTCGATTTCGATCCAGAAGCCAAGGGAACTCCTGGATCAAGTACTGAGAGAAATTTGCCTTGGTGGAGAACTTTTTGATGGGACTAACCCGCATTTACGTTACATAGAGAGGAAAAACACGAAAACCTCCACACTATTAGCTGACTAACTCTAGGAACTCTAACTAATGATCCGTCTACCACTGATGATATTTTACGTCAGCACTGTGGTCGGTGAGAGCCTGGTGCGGAGTTCGAATCGACCTGCCATCACTGGGATTCTAACCCGGTTCACTCGGTTGGAAGGCGAGTGCTCTACTCCCTGAGTCACAACTTCTCCTACTTCCGCGTTTACAAGTTTTATTGGTGACACAGATGTTTTAAGTCATCTTCTTTTTAATGTTACCACTTTTTAAAAATTTGAGCTCTCGCCCGAACTCTGAGCATTAATCTTCCACCTCTGGGTTATTTTTACCTTAAGAAAAAGTGGTATACCAATGAAATAAATTTTGTTTATTTTAAGAACAGTTTTCGATTTATTTATTTTCAATACACGCATACTAATACATATCAGTTTAAGTGATTTCTATATTTACATATAATTAGCAAGTAAGATATCTGATTGTTTAAAATAATCCCAATTTAGCTATTATGATAATTATGGTTGTTTATATGTCAACATATGCAATTAAAACAATGAAATTCCGAATTAATAAAAAAAAAATCAGAACAATTTTTCAATTACATACAGAAAATGCTATCGTGACGAAAGCACTTTCGTATCACGTCATTTTCTCGAGCGGTTTGGCTTTCAACTTTATTTTTCTGCAGACGATAATACGAAGTTTGAATTGATCTCAATCAATTCAAACGCCAATTTACGAACCATGTTTTGGAAAATTTTGTAATCAGCTGCATCAAGAATTGGAGAATTCTGCACGAACTCTCTGTTTATAAAGGATTTACCGCCTCCGCAATCTGAACAGAATTGGGTAGCTTTATTTTATCTTCGATCTTATGCCTACATAGTACGCAATATGCCAAACGAAAAATATAATTATGTTCTTCTATATTTAAAAAAAATATTATAAAGAAAATATTTGTATTGCAGGAAGAGTAAATATTTTCTAGAAGATTCGAACATGTTTTCGAATTTGATACACTGCTATTTGATACACATTTGATTCTAGCTGCATAATTTAGTTTAGGTTTTTAGACCAAAACCCACATATTTAACACTACGTATTTAATAAAATTTTGATAAATTCTAAAACAAATGTATACTTTTATTCTAGTTGAATTAGAAATAGATTTGTAATTTTTCAAATTTAATTTTATTCTAGAGAAATTAGAAGTAGATTTATGGTTTTTCAAAAACCTTTTTGGCTGATAGTTAATAATTCTACTTTTGGTGATAAATTTTATTTATTTTTTTCTAACTGAATTAGATATAGATTTATGGTTTTTCAAAAACTTGTTTGGCCTTTCGTTAATGTTTCTTCGTGTTCCTTTTGATAGCCTTTTTTCAAAACTGCTTATTTTAACACAAACGTAACATTTTCTTCAAACTTCTTACTCCAAGAAACATGAATTTTGGCAAGCATTCTTAGATTAATTCAATCATCGCTTTTGATGAAATATTAATTGTATCAATATAATTGTGACATTAAGTCACAGCCTAATTTCTAAATATCCCGTTTTATTAATCAAAATACTAATTTTTCGGCTTAATTTATATTTTTAGATACAGTTTTTATNAAACAATCAATATATATTTTATTAATTGGTGTTATTTTAAAAAAAATTACTAAAATTAAAATTTTACTAAAATATATTACTTTTCATTATTATTATTATATATTGGATACATATGATATTAAAATTTCACTAAATTGGTGAAATGGTATTAAAAGCTACCTTAAAACCCTTTCCGAGTAGACCATGCGGAAAAACAGTTAATGGCTTTTCGAACAAATAGATTTGTAAGCATAAAAATGCAAATTTTTAGATGTTGAAAAGCACTACTTAAGTTTGTTAAGTTTTTTTTATGCCCTGATATTTAAAAAAATTATTTTTAGTATATATCTGGCATGCATCACTAATAAAGTATGCATCTTTGCTTTTTTAACTTACCAGTTTAATAATTAATTTATGAATCAAATAGTAATTCATTTTAGAAATTAATAATTTTCTTTAAATTTCAAAATGTATTAAAATAAGTAATTTTATCTATTTTTTTCATTCGAATTTTCGAACATTGATTTCTTGTATTGTTTATTTATTGAATTGAAACATTAATAATATGTTAATGTAATTGTTATATAAGTTAAATTAAAATTAGAGATTGCATTGGAATAAATAAATTTTGTAGATGAAATAAAATCAAGTTAAAAATAGACGAAAACTATTTTAATAAACTCTGCAAGTTCACTGTCTCAAAAATGAAAAACAAGACAACTGAATAAAAAAAAACAATTTTAAATAATTTCTTAAAATAATTAGTTTAGCATCGAAATGCAATTACGTTTAAATTAAGAAGATATATAATCAGTTAACATCACTTTATATTTAAAATGCTCTTAGAATAAAATTCCAAATTAATTGACGAGGCCAAAATAATATTTTGGTCGTTGTAATAACTGCGTGTGGTCGTTAAAGTTAAAAAATACAACCACTTTTTTAATAAAAATTATGTATAGATAAAGTCCTATTTCAATAACCTTGGTTTCTTACTTGAAGAATCTAAAAATGTAGTTCTTTAGCTGGTATACCTTCAAAACAGCATTTTCAACGTTTATTTTCAGATTGAGGTCCTGTTAGTATCCAAACTTCAAGACATTTTATATACCTTAATTATTTTCGCAAAAATTACGATGCACAATTAAGCTTTTTTTAAATTCAATTATGTTGCTATGAAGATCACTCAACATAAAATTTTATATTTTATTCATATAAATAAAATCACGGAAGTTTATATCACGTAATTCAATTAGAAGTAATTATTTAGAAAGTTTGAAGAAAAAAAACAAACTTATAGATATGGGCGTTTTAGGCAATTTAATTTTTAAAAGGAGACGACATTAAAATGTATAGTCACAACCACAATTATTCTCAATATTTAACTGATGGAAGAAAATTAAAAAATAAATTATTTTATTGGATAAATATCAGCAAAATCATCATCATCATTATTTTTTTTTAATTCCTTAACTGTTTTTAACTAGTCTGAATTTGAATTGATGATGATTAATGAGAATTTTCTTTCATTCGTCTGAAATATTGCGGGAGGGACTATCGGAGATTTCTTATTAATAAAAAAATAAAAAAGCACATTTTCGCAACCGTGTCGCCTATTACATATTATTATTATTATTTATTACATAATCTTTTCCCGGGAAACTTTTTAAATAAATATTTTATATATGATTGATTTCTTAAAAAATAAATAAATAAAATTTATCATTAAGAAATACATTTTTTTAATTAATGAGTTTTATAAAAAATCATAGAAATTATTCTGAAAAAATAAATATTAATCCATATATATATACAATTCTTTTAAATTGAAAACAATTAATGAATAACTGTTCCAGTAAATTAAACATGAATACAAATATTTTTCCCCATCATTAATGAAGTCTTGCATTTACTGAAGCGACGATAATTTGAGAAAACTTAAATGCATTGGGAAAAAAAATACAGATTTAAAAAAAAGATATGTATGTTTGATGTTACGAAACGAAACTAAAACCGAAACTACATTGAATACATTTTTCATACTCAGTTACTAGATGGCGCTACAAAATCTGACTGGAGCAAACGATGTATGTTTTGTTTCCGGCATTTTCTCTTCCATGAGCGTTTTGACTGTTACTCGCGTCAGTTTTCGCTCCATTTAAAATTTTAATGAATCTTAATATTCGACAATCAGTCACCGATGAATAGTTTTGAAACTTTTACTCGATATTCAGTGTGTTGAGTCATTAACTGAAGTATCTTCATTCATTAACCATCTTGAAAATCGTGATTTTGCCAGAATAAACAAAATCAGTGTTATTATTATACAGTTAACGGTAAAGTACGCTTCTCCGCAGTGCGGCGAACAGAAAACAGTTGGAAACTACTTTTTTGATATGATCTTCTCTGATTACTAAATCGTAAGTTTTAATTTATATCTTTTTATTAAATTTATTATAATGGTACATAAAATACTAGTAATTTTTAATAAATATACTTGGAACCTAGCTAAGTCATAATGTGCAAGTAGATGTAGTAATGATATAATTAAGCTATTAGAAACAGCAAACGACAAAATAAAAATTGATCAGCAAACTATATTTTGTCTAGCTAATTGCTTTAAATTGAATATGATATCAAAATATCGTTTTATCTGAAAAGCATATGTTTCTAGGTTTCTCCATATTTGATACTCATTATTGTGATGAAACTTTCTTTGATATTATAATATGTCACACTATGATACTCATTCCACTGTATAAAAAGTAAATATTTGTTCCGAATAGATTTAGTCAAACGAATTTTTACAGTAAAAAATTTCATATGTTAGTTGAAAACAAGCAATGCATTTAAGTGTTTACGAATCCAATTCTCATCTCTTCGTTGTATATTTTTATTAATTATTATTTGCTGTTTTAGTTAATATTTACTACTATTTGGTGTACTCGACTTTTATATTTATATTACACAGTCTACCTATGTTTCAACATATTTTTGTTAGAAATGTATATGTTTTGTCCATTATTCATGAGAAAACCTGTCAATATAACTGTATAAATAAGCGAAACTATCGGTGATTATAATGTATAAAATAATATTTTGAAAGCTATCTGAATGTGTTCAATTCAGGTATTGAAATTTACATATCAAGATAGAAATCAAATGCGTTTTTTTTTTAAGTGCAAATTTTTCCTAACAATTTTATGGAAAATTGTTTCCTAGATGCAAAAATCGCGTTGTTGTGAATAAAAATGTAAAACATGTTTTATTAATTAATTTTTAATGAAATAGAAATCACTCTAGTTCGGAGTACCAAATGAAGAAATTCACAAATTTATTTAAAATTCTAAAATTAAACTAGCATATTTTTCTAGTTTTATATCAAAACTATATCTCGCTATAGAAATAACATGCACATTTCCGTGTTTTTCCGTTGATCATCGTTGTTTTAATTTCTGAGGTTTGTATAAATAAATTAATCGATTTTTAATGACTATACTTTCAATAGTGAATCTAAGTTGAGATGCTTCAATTGATGTTAATCAACATGAATTCGTGATCATTAATCAATGTTTATTATTCTATTAATACTATCTATTTCAAAAACTCAAAATGACAACACACTTGGTTTATTATAAACTAGTGTTAATAAACACCAAGTTTCGAAATGAAAATAAGAAAAATAACTTGAAAATTAAAGTTCGAGTTGAGTAAATATTTATGAAACAGGTAGAACATCTAAAGAAAAAAAGCCTTTCCATACAGGAAATTTATACTCAACCTATTTATTCATTGTATTATTTATTGTATGAACCTGTTTATTATTGTTAGTTATTTATAGAAAAGTTGTTTATCTGTGAAAGATTGATGGTATTACGATTGTTATAACTTTCTTTGTAATTGTAATAACTTCACTTTTTCCCACTAACTATTGAACCGATTTTTCTGCTTTTATTTATTTATTTTTAAATCTTGATGAATAATTTATATTCTAGTTTAACACTTGATCTATCACAAAAAGTACAACAACATATTCTAGTAAAAACAAAGTGTAAAGAATTAACTGAGAAAAAGAATTTGAAATTAAATTATTTCAAGAAATATCGTAGGACAAATAACGTAGGGAAAAATTAAAAGCGTTAGTCTGATAAGTTTGAAAAGCTAAATGGAAATATTGATCTTCGAAAAAGTATTTGAAAAAAAAAAGTAATTTTTAAGATGTAACTGAAAAGTAAAAATGTTATCAGGAATTTGTTAATACTTGATTCCTTAGCATTAAAATATATTTTAAATAATTGAAAAATATTCAAAGCTTTTCTTGTCTTTCAATTGGTTAATTTGCAAAAGCGTCCATTTTTAATTTTTATCAAGGTTTAATAGTTTTAACTAGAACTGTCTTCTGGTTGTTAAGTTATTTGTTCTCACTTTCTTTTTTTTCATTCTAGATATTAAAAATAATTTTCTAGTTGAACCTTAGACAGCAATTCTTTATCTTAACTTTCATAGGACTCTGAAATTTCCCCTTTTTTTTATTAAAAGTTGTTTTATTATTATGCTAAAATTTGTTTTTTAGTTCTCATATAGAATTAAACGTCATAATTTCGGAATCTAATATTCAAATTTCAGAATCAGGCATTGATGATTTTAATCAGGCATTGATTCTTAAACCCTATTGTAAAAGGTTTGTTCTCCTTACATTAAAAAAATAAAAAAAACTGTGCTGAATTTATACTTAACAAATATAGTTAAAAGAAATTTCTGTAATTATTCCTGCTCGCTTAGCGACACCGTTTTTTGATCTCAGTTTATTTCAGTTGCCTTGAATTCTTTCACGTTTTTATGTTGTCCATATGACGAGCTCTGTGTGGACGTGCATTTGACCTTTAATGTTAATTTTATTTTTTGCGTATTTCGCCATATCTCGAGAACTTTTTAAGGAAATTGAAAAATGTTTGCACACAATTAAAAAATTCGTTTATCCTAAGATAATTCCATGCACAAAATATAGTATAGTAAATATTTATTAATTTATTATATTTTTATTATATTATTTAATAAGAGTCAAACAAATTTTGTTAGGTATACAAGTTTTGACATAATCTTAAAGAGTATAATTTTACTTGCAAAATACAATATTTAATCGAAATCGGTCGAAGAGTATCTGAGAAATCGAATTTTAAAAAACCCGTATTTTATAAAATTCGATATATTTTCCAGATTACGGTTATCCCCTATATTTTTATGGGTCAGAAATCTGGATCTGTCTAAAATAAAAAAGGTATATTTATTCAGAGAAAGTTCGTTTTTGTGTTCGATTTCGTAACTTAAAATATCGTCTGCACTAAATAAGGGGAGGTCATCCCTTCGAATCATAGATTTAATCCGAGAACTTATAAGATCCCATTAATAGATCAAAAGTTGTTAAGGGTGGTCCGTGTATTTTTTGAGCACTATACATAAATAATATATTTGACTCTACACATATTTAAGACTTAGAACAGTTGAGTCTCAACTCCTGGGTCTCAATATTCATTAAGACCCAGGAGACCAGTAGTGAGGGCAAGCTTTCTGTTAAGTCTCAATATTCTGGGTCTCAATATTTTGCTATAAAAAAAACAAAAACATTTTTGATAGCAAAAATCTTTCGTATGATTACGCTTCTTTAAGTTCGTGAACAGTGCCACTAAGCTAAATTTTTTGCTTTAGAATTGCATTGTTTACTGTTTTAGGTCTTTAGATTTTAGATCTTTAGGTTTTTTTTAACTAAAAGAAATTTGTAACAGTTAAAAGTTCGTTTCATTTGGAGATTTGAATTCACTCTAGGCTTATTACAGAAGGCTTGGCCTCAATACTTAGGGCTCATAGAAAACGGCTGAAATAAATCAGACAAACAATGATATCATTTGTAAGTAGCCATGCCTGGGCGAAAAATGTTTGGCTGAATGAAAAATACAAGAGACTTATACAAATAGCCCAGCGCAAGGCGGAAGACCGGAATTTCCGAATCTCCTACAACTATTAAAATCTTAATTTTTTATGTTTTCTTATTTTTTCAACATACTATTAAATTAATACAGTGAGTTTTTCACCATACAGTTGTGTTAACAATAAAAATTCTTAGATATTAAATTATCAAATAATGTACTCGTTTGATTTTTCTGAACATTTTTGATGAAAATAAGACAAAATGAGCGTTGTATGATGCTCACATTTTCTCATTTAATATCAACAAACATGTTACAAATGAGTAGTTTATGAAGATAACAACAGTTAAAATCGTAGCTTAATCAATATTTCAGAGTGAAGACAAAACATTCTATTATCTCAGATTGTATTGTTTATGAATACTTGAAAGTTTATTTTAAGCAATCAGTTTTTAACGCCCATACCATTGAAGAAATAGTTATATCAAGTAGATTGATTTTTATCTTGCATCATAATCTCTTGAAAATCCGCGTGTGATATGTTCTTGGGGATTATGCAAATTAACACCATTTATTGCTTTCTTTTAAATGTAGCTTAACGCCGAGAAAAATAAAAGTGATCAAAATAAATCTGAATTAAGATCACACGAAAGCTAAGAACGCGAAGAAATACTTTTCTCTGAGAAATTAGCCCCAAGAGTTCCACCAGCAGACGATAAATGAGAATGAATGCCGGAAATATGTTCGTTCCTTTGTTCGAAAATAAGTTGTTTATAAAATATAATGATACCCCGGCAAGTTTTTAATGATGATATTATAACGGCAATAAAAACAGACTACCCGTTATGTTCAAATATTCTTTTCTTGTTCTTCTTTGTAGATTTGTGAGTGGAATAATGTTTTATGAATTATTGTTCTTGTAGAATCTTGTTTGCTATATACTTCCGGTCTTGATGCTGTAGTGTCGTAACAATTGCTTTTGTTTTTCGAACTTGCCAAAAATAATGTTCTCATTATACGTGACTAATCAGTCCTGATAATAGAAGCATTATTTGATCAGTCCATGTTGACTATTTATCTATTGGTATTGAAAGAAAAGTTCATTGCAAACGATGCCCAACGGCGACGTGTAGCAGATGTTTTGGTTGAGAATAATAAAATTCTATCAATAAATTGGCAGCCGATTTCAAATCAAATAATTTTTCACACTTTCTAATTGTATTAGCAAGTTTTGAACTTGTATTTTTTATTTTACTCTTTAGTTATAAATCTTGAAATGAGTATTTTAAAATTATAAAATAAATATAATTCGTCTGTTATAGAATTTCTAATCTCAATTTCGAACTATTGATAGAGTCTAAAAACCATTGTGTTTGGCTGAGTTAACAACCTCTGGTGTTTCCTGTAGTAACTTTTTATCTGTTTGAAGATAACTTTTTCAACTTTATTAACTAATTAAACTCGAAGCAAATTTTATCGAACATTTATTATAATTT